TGTGTTTTTATTTTTTAAATCTCTATTTTTTGTAGGAAATAGAATTTGATTTTGATTTTCTAATCTAAAATTTTGATAAAAACATATTAAATTTAAATTTAGATATAATTGTTATATTTTGTGAAATATATTAATTCAAACAAAAAGATATGTATTAATTTACTAATCACTATTTTGTAGCTAAGAAAATATTGTAATTTATTTGTTTTATTTTTCATTATTGAATGTTCTATTATGAAATATTAAATGTTCAAATACAATTTATAATTTATTTTTTTAAATTCAAATCGTTATTGTATAAAAAGTTTGTTGGATTATGCTGATTGAGGCATGATTATTTTATTTTGTTGATAATTAAGTAAATGGCTTTACATTATAGAAGAAACATTATAAATTATAATTTTTTATAACTATATATTTTATCTTATTATATTAATAAATTCTAACATTTTTTTTTAAATTATTTATGCCAATTTTAAGTTCAAATGAAAAAATTCGAGAAAATTTTCGAAAAAAAAAATTCGAGAAAATTTGCTTGTCCTCCCAGTTAAAAGATTTTTTGCCACTAATCACAACCACTACTATCTCTGAACGTATTTTATATCCATTTCATTTTTTTTAAACAAAATGCAAGAATGTAAATTCTCGTATTTACTTCACACCAAACCAAACAATTTTAAATTATTTTAAACATAGCATTTCAAATGCATTGTATTTCTTTTACACTGCATTCTTTTTTCAGCAAACAAAACGACCCCTTGTCCATTTTTTAAGTTCAATTTAGTTCTTCCTAAGTATACTGATTGAGCATGATCATTTATTTATTTGTCTTTGATGAAGAACCTATAATTTTCCTATAGTCAATATTGATTTAGATCACCTTAAACTCACTTTGACTCTCATTCTATTTTTTTAAAAGAATTTTTTATGAAATTTTCATTATTATTATTATTATTATTATTATTATTATTTTGTAATTTGTTGGGATAAACCATATTGGGGTGGCTAAGAAAAACATGAACCTGAACAACAATCTTGGGTAAATAGAAAATTTTATTGCTGGGAAATGGCCAAGTTCACTGACTGATTGGTTGAATGAACTTGGGCAAACTTAAAATTTGCAACAAACCTGTTACCCATTCTAGGAAGTTCATTTTCTTTGTGCGCTCATCTTAGTGGTATTCAACTGAAGGCCCTCCAGTGGATGATTATATTTTTCTAATAAAAAATTTTGCTTTGAAAAATCAAATTTAAGAACCATTGACCATCCTTGCTTATTCACTTTAGCTGGTCTCTCCATGCTTTAGTGTAGTCCCCGAAAAAGTTGGATGGAAAAAATTACATTTCCTCCTATGATGATTGGGCTTTGTTTTAAGCAACATTCCAAATTTAAAAACACATTCTTGTTATATTGTCAACCATGAACATGGTTCAGAATGTGAAATCACCTTCATTGTTTGCATTTTAAATTCTTTGACAAGGGGGTTTGAGAATGATATTTTTCTATCATTTTGGCTAGGAAAGCACCTTCTTACTCTTTGAAAAGCACTCTATGCTGCGCATCATGAAATCTATGTTTCTAAAGCAAACCAAGTCCCTTTTTTTCTCTTGCTTCATGATTTTTGTGCTTTTAACCTTCTTATTCTATCTCATGTAAATCATTTTAAGAAATGCTCTGAGCATCAACAGCTTCCCATGCTAAGAGCAGTAGTAAGATTGTGTTTTTGGTTAACTATTCTTCCAATTTGTGAATTACTTTTCTTGAGTTTATCTGAAGTAAATAATAAGCTTCCTACTTCTTATATCTAACTTATCTTCAAGAAAGTAGTTTTGAGTTGAAAGGGCCCACTACCTTCGGTATAACGTTATATTGTTTCTCTGTCTGTGCTTGTATTTTGGATTTCTCAATTTTTCTTTTTTTTATGAAAGCATTCTTGAAGGACATAGACTTGAGTTGATAATGCTCATTACTTTGGTAGCAAAGCAGGATTATATTTTCTTACCCAATTTTTTTTATCATAAAACCAAATTTTACTCATTTCTATGTAGATAAATTTTAAATCTTGATAACTTCGAATCTTTGAATTTGTTTGGGATGGTTGCAGGTATCTATAAAAGTTGCTACATAATTGCTGTGAAAAAATATATTTCTTAAAAACTATTGTGGGTAATATAGACTTTCCTTTTGAAAGAAAGCATGCTATAATTTTTTGACAACTAATAGAGTAGCATATCTGGTTGTAAAAATATGTTTCTTTTCGCATAAATACATAGAAAATAGCAAGAAATGTATAACCAAATAAAACTATGATAGCTGCCTTGAAAGTGCTATGAAAGAATTTCCTCAAAAGGATCTTTAGTATGTGTAGTGCTTCTTTTTTAGTTGAGTCAAATTCTTCTTGTTAGTTTTGTACCATTATCCCAACTACTTGATCTAAAATATTCTTCATTAACCTTTAAAAGGATAACTTTCAAGCTCGTGAAAAAATAGACCAATTCTTGCTCATGAAAAGACTATGGGTTGATGCTTATCCCATGAACAGGGTGATGTGTGAGTGTTTTTGGTTCACTCTCGGCAAAGACAATGGTTAGTGAAGAAATTATCAAGGAGAAGCTTCCCAAACGGATGGAGCTCGATTGAGAAGCTGAACTACTAAAAATCTAATCACCTTTGGCTTGTTCACTTTAGAGTTTACCCTACTTTTATTTTATAAATTATCTAATAGTATTAGTCATGCTCTCATACATTGGGATTAAGTAGCTCTTGTATAAACATTTATACAAGTTTTTTTTAATTTCTTAAACTTCTAATTCTCCTTGCCCTTTTGGCTTTGCAATGGGCCTACAATAAGATTTTACTATTTTTGTCATTGTTAAATGTCGATGGTCACCTTAAGCAACTTTATATTAATTTAGCAACTTTTGTTTGATGATCAATGACCAATCACGAGCATGTGTTAGCTAAATGATGAACACAACTATTATCATTTCATCACAATTAAGGGAGGCTTTCTAATCCTTTCCTTGATTGGGAGGTGATTAGGGTGCAAACTACCACCATAACTCCCGTCATTTTGCACCAATGTACAAACTTTACATCTTATGAATGAGGGAATGATTGGCACCTGCCAAGTTACCTTCACTTTAGAAATTTCAATAGTTGCAGTAGGCATGGAATCTATTCCTTCATCAATATTTGTTGTCCGGACAGGAGAGCTATTGCACTTCTTGTTGGCAAATTAGGTTGCCTAGTTTTGAATTGGGGATTTTTTTTTTATTGGTTAAAGCCAAATTGACCAAGACTGATTCTTCTTAAGTTACTTAATTAGATTTCACTTAATAGGATGCAGTGGCGAAAAAGGATTCATGTAGCCGACCCCACTTAGTGGGATAAAGACTTCTTGTTGTTGTACTTTTTTGGGTTCACCACCCTAATCCCATCAACATTATTTGATCAAATACTCTATATCATGCTTCAATGATTTACCTAACTCAATGGGGATCCTAGGGTTTATGTTTTAATACATCTTTTTATCTTTGAGGTTGGATTGAGAATTGGTGCCTCTCATGCTCCCAAAAATCAAGTACAGCATACTTTTCCTCCATGCAATCATGCAATTTACTAGACACATTTAGGCTATATTGATCAAAGGCATCTCTGGTAAGACTTTATTGGGCATCATAGCATTATCATGCATATTAATTTTTGAACAATGCATTTTAGTCGTGCCCAAAGTACCCCAGATTTTTTAATTTAATGTCTGCTTCAATTTCTGAAGCTATTGTCGATCAAAGGCATCTGTTGTATGACTTTCAGAGACAACATCGCATTATCATCTAGGTTGATGATCATTAATGCACTCTATTGATACCCAAAGTAAACATACTTTGTCTAATCTTTCACTCTTTATTGTTTAAAGCTTGACTTGAGCACGCGGCATAGGTTTCACTTTCATTTTTTAAATCTACAGTTGAACTTGCACGCACACACACAAAGAGAGAGAGAGAGCGAGAGAGCTTAAATACATTTGTTGCGGATGTATGAGAGATGCAAAATCTAATATATTGGAATTTTAAAATTGTATTTTTAACAAACTTTCTGGCTATTGTTTTTCAATATCCTTTTTAAAAAGCAGAACCCCAATTAGACGAGGCCTTAGCTTAATCAACTAACTTGAATGTGAGCGTTCTCTTAGATAATAACATCTTCTGCTAGAGGGTAACATATATATAGCTTTGACGATCCTTGGTCATGGATGGCAATTATGCCTTACCGATAGGGTATTCTACCCAACCAAAATTGATAGATATTTGATTATTTAATCGAATGTGGTAATTATTTGGGTTTGATATTTTGAGTACTTTCCATTTTGGTGACTCGACAGGGTTTGTCGCCCATTGGATACAAATACCCTAACTCAGTTTAATATTTTACAAGTATAAAAAATTACTTTATTATCATTCATACTTTTTGCATGTAATATTTATACTAAAATGTAATATATGTAAATACCAAATTAGATGACCTTAAATATAAAATGTTTTGAACCCTAAATTAATAATGGATTTCAAATTTTTTGCTTTTAAGATATATGGCAAAAATATATATTTTCTACCCTCTACTATGAGTCTATGATATGTGTTTTTAATTATTCCATTTTATTATGATACATATTGAGGTATCTAATTTTAAATCAGATATGAATTAGAATAATGTTTATTGAGTTGGGCAACCTACATGTTATCTTTTATTTATCTTTAATTGATTGTGTTTTGGAAGTATTCCGAGCAATGATGATTCAACTTGACTTCCTGAGCGGCACATAGAGCCTTTTTAGATTATAAAATAAGTTATGTTTGTATTGAAGTCAGCATGGAACTCTAGCATGTTTTTTTCCTAAAAAAGTACTGCAGAGCGCCCTTTTGTTTAAACGATAGTGAGTTTTGAAACATGAATAATCCAATTATGCTATAAAGTACAGTGTCTTGATTTGATGCAGGATCCATTCAATGCTGAGCCCACTCGTGAAGCCTTAATTTCATCATACGTCACTCCCGTGGATTTTTTCTACAAGAGAAATCATGGACCTATTCCAATTGTTGATGATCCCGAAGGGTATTAATAACCTAATAAATCTTCTTCTCTCTGCAAACTTATATAATGAGTTAACTATATATTTTTATTTGCCATAACAGATATCGTGTTTCTATTGGAGGTTTAGTGGAGAAATCTGTAGAACTGTCTATGGATGAACTTAGGTGAGTATGGATATGACATCAAATATGTACCTGCTAAAATTTGCTTTGACATGAAGTCATTAATTTCCAGAAAGCTTCCAAAATACAACGTCACTGCCACTCTGCAAGTATCTTTTGAACTCTGTTTTACTAAATCTACGTGTTCTATTATCTTATTAACTGATAGGTTGCAAAATGAATTAATTCTATTATATTGATTTTTTATGAGCGATTCAGTGTGCAGGTAATAGGAGGACTGCAATGAGCAAAACACGGACCGTGAAAGGTGTTGGTTGGGATATTGCTGCTGTTGGAAATGGTAATTTTAATTTCACAAATGAGCCAAGATTGCTTTGACAGTTTCTGAGGATGTTGGTGGAGGCTGATGTGATTTTATTTTCCCTTAGTCTACCCACTTCTCATAAGAAAATTTTGGAGGCCATTGCATAAGTAGAATTGGCGATAGGCATTCCGAAACATGTTTCTTGTTTTCTTTCTTTCTTATAACGTTCTCAGCTATGTAATTTCTACACAAATTCTGCAAGGCATTTTAAATCTTAGATTACATTCGTTGCTATGAGTTTGTAGTCTTACAAACGGGTGCGTGTGCCTGAAGTTAGCCCAAATCACTATAGGAAAAGAAAATACTATTATGAAACTCAAATTTGAATTCACAAACAGCCAACTAGAATAAGATATAACAATCACGACGCCCGAAATTGAAATTAGCAACTAACAAAAACTCAATGAAGGTGGATCCCCAGGGTGGTGGTTGTGGTGGTGGAGGTCGGTGAGGGTTTGGAAGGTAGCGCAGAGGTAGAAAAGACTATTGACAAACAGAAAACAACAAGACAACGCTTTCTTTGGGGCTGAACAACAAGTACACAATTGGGGGAAGATGCGTGAGGATTGTCTCGGTTGGTGGTAACAAGGGGAAGGATGTTGAAAATGAAGGTGAGGAGTTGTGGCAATGGCTGCATGCTAGAATGAGAGAAACAACTGGTCGGGTGGCTAGAACACCATAAGATGGCCAGGATTGGTTGTTTCCGGGCAATGTCAATGAGTGGGAATGACGGTGGCAGCGGCGGGGAAGGTGTGGGACTGTGTGACAGCAAAATGAGGACTGTCCTTGTGGTGCGACAATAAGGACGATGGCTGGACAACGAGGAATTGCATGAAGAACAACAAAAAGACTTGTCGGGGCAGCTGCAACAAGGAGGAAGACGTGGTAGTGAAGTGAGAGGGATGCAAAAAAGGATAGAGAAGTTAATTACCACATGAAGGCCAAGCTACAACCGAAGCATCACTTAGAACCCTAGGATAGAACCCTTGAAGGAAAGAAGAGATGCTGGAGACTGTCTCGATAACAACAAACGAAAACTAACCCTAAACAGCTGAAACACAAACATTTAATAATAGGATAAGTAGGAGAAGGTCCGAGGGCCGGCTGACTCCACTGCACTCAAAAAGCTTGAATCGCTTCTGTCCAGGTGAGCAGACGGGCGCTTGCTTGGTCTTTGGAGGCACCACATCCCGCCTAGGCACCAATAATGCCCGTGCCAATCTTCCGTTGTTGGGGGAGCTTCGAACTCGTTTTTCGAAGCTTCTGCCTCCACTTTGAAGGTGATATGACTGTTATAATCTCTTGGGGTTGAAGGGCCTTCGACTATGTCGATATGAGCACATGGATTCCACTGTCTGTTGTGCTGTCTCCCAAAACACCCTTTGAGAGTAGACATCGATATTGGACAAACCGTCTGATCGTACACTAATGAACTGAATTGGGACATCATGTCACGTATATTATACTGAATTCTCCTGAAGTAACCCAAGGTTGGTTTGACCTGATCTGAAGTGAGGGCAACTTGAATCTTCCCTAATGGCGGTGGCTTCAATAGTGATGTCATGAAATGCTCTCTATAATGACTGTACCCTGTCTGAAATCGATGCCTCAGTGGATTGCCCATGAGGCTGCTTGGAAGCTGAAGACAAAGATCCTATTACTACTGACTGTTTGTTGCTGTGCAAGATCAAACTCTTATGGTGAATTGGGGCATTAGTATCCCAAACTATAGCAGTTATTAGAGTTAGTGGAGAAACTCAGCAAGGTGACAAAGGCCGTCATCCCCCAAGCTAGGTGTTTTTGTTATATTATTTATCAGTGCTGGTGGGCTCGCAATGCAAAGACACAACCGACCTTATGGCACTCCTACTGTCGTTGCTTCTAACATTCTTGAGGTTCTCACTATGACGATACATTCTCCAGGACAATCGTGGTACCAGAATTATTGTCGTGGGACTGCTTCCAACATTGGGATAGTTCTCAAGTTGAACTTTATTCTAGCAAATCTTTCCAAGAGGTCTGCCAACCGTGTATGTTTGAGTGCAAAGTGCTTATCATTGAAGGTGAAAACATAAACATTATACAACTTTTGCACACCACTATGAAGAGAGAGTTTTGGAGGCATTGCCTGTGCTTGAACCCATCATATTGAGTCCTAGAGTCAAATTGCCACGACCTCTCCAACAAAAGGTGGCAGGCGTTCATGGCACTGCGCTGCACCACACCTGATTCTACAACTAGTTTGTAATCAAAAACTCTATGAGGCACCTCCTGTCCTTGTTGACCTTATTGTCTTTCTTCAACCATGTCAGAGAATACGACGGGGAATGCCTTTGAGTTATGAGGCTTACTTTCTCCACCATCTGCATAAACATCACATTTTTGCTGCTCTCCATCAATGATGGGATTGCATACATTTCCTTTTGAAAGTGCGACAAGTGTAAAATATAGTGGTGAAGCCACTAGTGCTCCTTCTTATCCTCAGCCTGTAGGACCCATTTTACCACGAGCTTCTCACCCTTGTTTGTTGGAAAATGTTACTCACCCTATTCCTTAGTTGCATCTTCCTTGCTAACCTCCTCCACTGCACCCTATTCGGTGAAAGGCACGACTGGACTCATCAAGCAACTGTAAGTGATATACACAAAACCATGACACCTGAAGCATTCCTAGGTGGGACTGTAGTGGGTGGGCTAATATTCTCAGGCTTCTTCTCACTTAGAGTAGTTCCATCCTACTCCCTACAGGACTGCTCCAATCTCTGAGGCATGGTCCTCCTAAGTCTCCAACTATGGGTGACTGCTAATTGGCGGTAGTTGCGTGTTCTACTTATGTTGTCTCCCTACTTTTTATGCTAAAGTTTGCACATCTCTCAGTGTCCAATAGAGTTGCAGCTGAATCACATTACTGATGAAGAGCTTTAAGCCTCCCAACCATTTGGATATGGTGTGCTCCTCTGGCTCCTTCAACTCACTCTTCAATTTATGTTGTAAAAATTGTCGTATACTTCTTCACTAATAGTTCCTTTTGTTTTAGGTAGTGGAGCTTCAAAAAAATTAATTGACATTAGTGCTAGGGTAGGTATTGTAACTGCATCACTTTCTTCATTATCTCCCAAGACTTGATTATGCCCCGTCCTCTCCATCTTTCCCTCTTCAGATTCTCTCACCACAAAGATGCATTATTCTTCAGCTTGATGGCAGCGAGCTTCACTTTTTTGTCATCAGGTACCTCCTTGTATTCCACTCGAGTAAATAATCTAGATCCATTCCCCCTCGAAGGTACCTCCTTGTATTCCACTCGAGTAAATAATCTGGATCCATTCCCCCTCGAAGTCTGGTAAGTCCACCTTCATTCCCAAATCTATGTATCCTCTAATAGGCACATCATCTCTATATTTTCTAACCACCACTCCATCTCTGTATTCTCTAACATCCATCTCATTCTGTCCTCTAACATGTGTCTCATCTCTGTATCCTCCAGCAGACATCTCATCTATGTATCTTCCACTAGGCACTTCGGCTCTAATCCTCTGCTAATACTATACTCCAAAGTGTTGCGGTCTGTCTTCTTCTCCTTTGAAATCATTCATATGAAAGGAATTGAAGTGTTCTTCTTGCTCTCCTTCACAGATTTTACTATTATTGTCGACGTTGATGCCGCCCTGAGTCCTTTCCTCATTGGCATCGAGCCGATGTAACATTTGACGGAGTAGTTGTTGTATGTCGTTCATGGTAGATTCTTGATTAGAGTTTGGCAATTGTCTCCTTGGGGATGTTAGGTTTTTGGGTGTAGGTAGGTGGAAGGTGAATAGGGTGGAGGAAAAAGAAAAAAATTTGGCAAGGTGATATTGGGAATGCTAGAAATCTTAGGAGAGGACTAGGGTTAAACTAGTTTTGATACCAAATGATACCGAAGTTAACTTAAACCAAGATAAAAAAAATAAATATTATTACTGAAAATCAAATATGGACTTACAAACATCCAACTGAAATAGGAAATAACAACAATCACTACACCTGAAATCAAAAGTAGCAATTGCTACGGCAGAAACACTCAATGAGGGTGGATTCTGTGGTGGTGTTGGTGGTTGGTGAGGGTTTGTAAGGTGGCATTGGGGTGGAAAGACGGTTGGCAAGCAAAAAGTAGCAAGGCAGTGGTTTCCAAGGGGTCGTACATCAAATAGATAGTTGAGCGACGTTGTGTGAGAGCTATTTGGGATTGATGGAAACAAGGGGGGAAGGACATCGACAACGTAGGAGATAAGTTGCGGCAATGGAAGCATACTGAATTGATAAAAACAATTGTCGGGCAGCTGGAACAATAGAAGATGGCTAGAATCAGATGTTTCTGGGCGACAACGACGACAATGATGGTGGCGAGCGGGAATGACTACAACAACGTTGGGGAAGGTTTGGGACTGCAAGATGGCAAAAGGAGGACTGTCCTTGAGGTGCGACAACTAGGAGGATGGCTGGAAGGTGAGGAACTACAGAAAGAACATCAAAAGAATTGTTGTCAGGGCTGTTGCAACAAGGAGAAAGACGTGGTGGTGAAGCGAGAGGGATGTGGAAATGAATAGGGAGGATAATCACCACCTGGAGATCAAGATATGACCAAAGCATCACCTAGAACCCTAGGATACATTCCTCGAATGCAAGAAGAGGTGCCGAAAGATATCCTGATACAACACACATGAAGAACTAACCCTGGAATAGTATAAACATAAATATATAATAATTGGATAAATAGGAGTGTTATATATAATAATTAGATAAATAAGAGTATGCAGGAGGGCCGACCGACTCCACTGCACGCAGAAAAACCTAGACGGCTCAGTCGAGGTGAGCAGATAGGCGCCTGCTTGGTCATAGGAGGTACCGCGTCTCACCCAGGCGCCAATGATGTCTGCATCAAGCACAAACTATTTTTTTTTCCAGATATTTTATGGTTACAGTTTTAAAGAAGTGGAATTT